CACCTGCATATGATCCTTTTCATGCTGTCCGCCTTAAGAGCTCAGTATACCAACTGCACTGGTCATTTAGAAAGTCTCATCTTTTTAAACTGTTCTAACATCTCCTTTTATCAGTGAGCATCTGTGCTGATAGATCATTAAAATGGAGGTTAAAGAAACAACACAATCATACACTCATGCCTTTAATCTGGTTGTGGCTCTAGTGACACAGGTTACACAACTCAAGAGGTGGAGGAGAATAGCGACAGTAATGGCCCACTTCTGTTGTTTTCACAACCTTGGGGCTTAAATAAGGCGTGTGGAGAGCCTATGCATGGCTTTGAAGGCGGTTGTGGCTGTTTTCTGTCACCAGGGTGACAGTTTAGTAGACCAAATAAACAGTCTGTCTGTGATCTACTCCTGTGCTACTGTTGCTCCAGCTAGCTGCAGAGAAAATCTAAGTTTTATACAAAGAGCTAAAGTGTTAAAAACGATGTTAAGTCTCCACTTATAGGTCTGACTGAGCTCTTCCTTCTACATGGTGAACTGTGCACTCTTTCCTTTCCTGTTTCGACACACATTTCAGCCAACTGCACACAAACATCTATGTAGGTTGCAAACCCATGGCACCATAAATCCCTCATTGCCCCTTTCCATAGAATAGGTCGATGGTCCTGGAACAGAGCCATAATGCAATAAATGAATTATTGCAGATGGAAACAACAGAATTCTCTTGACTAATGTTATCTTAGAGTGAATTAGTATTTAATATAATGTTGAACTGTAATTATAATCATGCACTAATAGATTACAACATAAATAAGAAGTCTTGCCATACAGCAGCTACAGATGACAGTAAACAAAGAATATAAAGATGATGTTTTAAGCTGTTGACTGCTATTATAAAGTCTAAACATAATTACAGCGGAGGATACTGTGTAGCTATTCAGTATTTATTTTTCAGTTTTGCTATGCACGACAAGGCAAACCTCATCTCACATAAAGACAAACCAGTACAAGCAAATGTAGTTCTAACAAAAGTTGTAAATGAATTAATAATTGCTTTTGTTCAAATTAAATCTTTGCAATAGTCAAAAAGCAGCACACAACTGAAGTGGAAATGAGCCAATCCTGGCATCCATGAAAAATGAGTTTCAACATGAAAAGCCGTTTTCTAGCCTCTTGTTGGTGAAGAAATAAACATTATATAAAGAGGGTAAGATATTGTCGTCAGGTGGTAATTCTGACTTAAATGCACATAGTTTGGTTTGCATTCACACCAGGGACGTTTTGACAGTAATGTCTGACCCAGTGCCCACTCCTGAAACTTTGCCTAATTCACCGTAACACTCTGAGCCCCTTCAGAATTCAGACGAAAGCAACTGTTAACCTCATTCACAGAGAAGCGAGGAAGCCGCCGTCACTGAAGCCCATTCATTCCTCCCACCACCGTCACCCTGAGCACGTGGGCGATTCCTCTCAGGGGTCGATTAGTGATGACTATGTAGCTGCCCTCCTTTTCTCACTCTCATGCATTATGTATTAAAGACAGTGCAGCATGGAGAAAACAGAGGATACGGTTTTAAGCCGTAAAATGACACAGCATTAGAGGAAAACTGTTTGCTCTTATCGTTTGACGTTTATGTAACACAAGTGTCAAAAGATAAAGACTGCTATCCCC